GACATTGTGGTTCAAACCAACTTTGCATTCCAGCACATTAACCCACAGCGCCACACCAGGACTCCACAGAGCCACTGTACTCATAATTTATTAATGAACTGGCATAGAGGATATTATTGGCTTAGAGAATAGTAATTGGCTTCTTAAAAAAATATAGAAGAAATAAGTAGAAAACGTTTAATAATAGGAATAAATATATTTCATAACCCACTATGGCATTTTATAGTGACTGAAGATAAAGCTGAATATTTTTAATACCATACATACAGAACAGAAAAGTCTACCAGTTCACCCAGAATTTATCTCTCTAGCCCATAGACACCAGGAAAAATGATGAAATTGCTTTCCTCATGATTTTGCTACTTAGATATGTTTCATCTAGTTTCCAAAGCTCACCAAGGCTAATATATGATTGGCAGCGAACCCTCAAGAGGGATTTCTGGATTAGATTTGCAGTGATTTGGGGGGGACTGTGTACTTATTTCTAATCACTTTAGTTTTGTTATTTCAAATGATCGTCTATACTTTCTTTAGGTCTATGAATTAAAAGATATTTAGTTTACTTGTGGTAATTTAGAATTCTTGAGGTATTGCCTCAGATATGGTTTTGCAGCCTTTATTTCTTCAAAATCACACAAAACAACCTCTCAGGATCTGTAATATATTGGGTCATATCCCTCAGAAAGATTTGTTGAAGTCCAAAACTAAGGGTAAGAAACCCTCGGCTCGAGGGCCATATGTTGTTGTTGTTAAGTGCTGTCAAGTTGGTTCGACTCATAGCAACCCTGTATAGAGTTTCCAAGGAGCAGCCGGTGGGTTTGAACGCCGACCTTGTGGTTTGTGGTCCAGTGCTGATCCTACAACACCACATGTATAAAGCCTGCGAAATCATTTGGTTTGCTCTTGCCAAGGCAATCACAGTTCCAGCTATCACATTAGGGTATAGTTAATTAATGTAGGGGTTAGTTAATTAATGTTTGACCAAATATAGCAGGCTAATTTTTAAGCTGATAATTTTTTATGGCCTGTGAATGATGTTATACATTTTGGAAGAAAAAAGTTTCCCCATCCTTGTCCTAAACCCTTTTATCTATGAATGTGATCTTATTTGAAAATAAGGTCTTTGAAGATGTTGCCAGTTAAATCCAATTAGTGGTATCCTTACAAAAGAGGAAAAGAGAAACAGACACAGCGGGAAGGTGGCCATGTGAAGACAAAGGCAGAGACTGGTGTGACAAGGAACTATAAGGGTGGTCTGCGGTCACCAGAAAGTAGGTGAGAGGTATGGAGCAGTTTCCATCAGAGTACCCAGGACTCAACACAGCCAACACTTGGATTTCCAAGTCCTTGTCAGAATTGTGAGACAACAGATTTCTGTTATCAACTATCCAGTTTGTGGTACTTGGTTATAGCAGCTGCAGGAAACTAATACAGTATCAATATCATGAAGTCTCTGTTTCTGGAAGAGCCCAGGTGTGGCACTGTAGGATAAACACTTTTCTTCTAACTGCAAGATGAGCAATTCAAATCTGCCAGTCACTCTTGGAAACCCTATACAGGGTCGCTATGAGTCGGAACTGACTTGATGGCACATCAACATGTTTCTGGAAGGAGTAAAAGACAGCATAGGGGTGAAAAATAATCAACAAGTCACTGTAAAACAATTCAAGATATGACCTTCCTTCCCTTCATTTCAAATACACATGTTTGTATTTTTCTTGGATTGATACTTCCCTGGTCTCTCCCACCTGACCCGATATAATTCTTGGTAGAGAAAGACAACTCCACTGGGTGATCTGGTTGTTTTTGATAGATGGATTTCCTGGCAGCTTGCTGCAAAGCACCTTCATGGTTGGCCCTGTCTGCTCCTCAAGAGTGTAATGAAAGCAACTAGGAGCCATTTTATAGCCCTGAAAAGAATGTCTCCTTTCTTTTTACTAAATGACGGATAAATCAACTTGGCAGTCAGTTTCTCTTCCATGAGTTCAGGGTGTAAAGGAATCGCCCCTGGGATTATTACCCCTAAAAGCAATTGTTCAAGCCCAGCTTTGCTAGCTATTTTTACAACAAAAAGTTTACTTCAGCCCAGCTGTTAGAAAGTCTCAGGTGTCTTTAGAAATGTGTTTATTACTGCTTGATTAATTATCAGGGAAAGAGAATAAGAAAAGCTATTTAAGAAAACCCATGAAATGCCATACTCTTTTTTTGTGTGTGTGTAAGTCAATAAATTATATTGGTGAAATAACCAGTAACCAAGACCAACAAGAGCTCTTTATTTAGCATGTAAAATCCA